AAGTTGTAATTAAACAGAAAAGAGAGTGTAATCACAAACTGGCATAATGCTTATTAAAAGGATATTTGCACAGACTTTTATGTTCGCAGTTTAATACCGACGTTAAAGTTCAGAGTGGTATATAAAAATGCATATCTGCTTGCTATTACAAGTTAATTATTTTTATTTAGCAAAAAGATTTTGACATTAATAGACTCAGAAAATGCTGATTTGATAGGAAATTTTCCACAGTTCAAAAATGATTAATATTTATTGCCAGGTGTTAATGTTTCAGGACCTTTAATTCCTGAGAATCTTTCTGTTTAGATATCCAAACTTTATTTTCTATGATTATGAGAACATGATAGTTTAAAAGTATCAAAATTTGTATCAAAATATAATTATATTTATTCATAAAAATAATTTTGGCTCACTGTTTATCATTCAGATCCTGAACATTTTATTTTTCTTAGCAATCTGATTTTTGAAAGTTTATATAATCATACCGAAAATATATTTTTCTAAACTTTAACTTTTTAATTTTTTTCTTTAAAAAATGCAATATCCTCTAAAATAATTATTAAGGTTTTTCCTCTGTTCTCTTGTAGTTCAGATACCATGGGGATGGTACATAAATTTCATTTAATTTTTAATTTAACTGTAGAATGAAATAATTTGTGAAGATCTCCCTGAAACAAGGAATGAATTGACTAGGCCATAAAATTTAAGGATTTATAGAGTGCCCTCTGCTGCATATATTTATATGTGCAATGTCCTTTATGCTTGCTTGCCGATCACACTTTTTTTTTGGCAGTGTCATCCTAAAAAATATTCGCGTATCACGTTGTCATTAAATATGATTTTATCAATTGCCTGTCTCCACTTTTCCTTGATGAAAGTGTAACTTTTTATATAATAAAAATGCATGATTTTATTTCAGAAATCTAATACAAATTATTTTATTAAGATGTACACTTAAAGAGATAAAATTTATTATCTTTGAAACATTACTAATTTATTTAAAATAAGAATACTAATGAATTCTTTATATTTTAATTTAACTGGCAAAATTATATTACTTTTTAAAATTTACTTTAAATAATGTATTCTATTTTGATTTATTTTATACATTCAATCAGTGTACATCACTTAGCTTATAAAGTGTATTTAGCCAAAATGAATTCACTTCATGCCAGTCCAGTTCAGGATACTATACATGTTCTTATCAAGAGATAATAATCCCCTTCTGGGGGCCTGCAGTTACCGTAATGGCTATGTCGCTGGACTCATGCCGGGCGCGTGTGTGTGCATGCCTAAGATCCTGAGAGGAGAATGGAGGAGAAGGGATTGTGGTGTGGCCACCCCTCCAGGGGGTGATTTCTTGATTTCTGTCTCTCTGTCTGTCTGGAGAGCGTACGCGCCCTATAGCAAAAACCTCTAAAAAAAATAATAATAATCCCCTTCTGTTGACGTTTCATGGACTACCTTTAAATATTTATTCTGTGTCTAGATATTACATGGATTAATTGAAACTTTATATCTATATTTTTACAAAACCGATATAAAAAGTTTCATATATTGTTTGCCCTCTACTACTTATAAGCTATTGATAAAACTCTGAAAGAGTAATTTTCCAATAATTTTGATAACATTTTTGAGGATCAATGTTCACTTTACAGTAATCCTACCCAACTCTTACATTACTATAAGCTAGTTTTGCTATTAGAAGCTTGAGTTTAAGTTTTTAAATTACTATGTGGTTTATTGAAGTGCAGTGTCAAAAACTGACATTTGATTTCTCAAAATGTATGCTTTTGAATTTATAGATTTTCAAATCTAGATTTTTAAACAAATTGTCAAGTGTAATTTTTCTATTACTCTATTTATAAGTAAATTTATTCTCGAAATTAATTTTAAGAAGAAATTTATCAATACATGCTTTTTTTTTTTTTTGGAGAGATTTTCACTGTAGGGCGCGTGCGCTCACCAGACAGACAGAGAGAGACATAGAGACAGAAAGCGAGAAATCACCCCCCAGGGGGGATGGTCACGCCGCAATCCCTTCTCCTCCATTCTCCTCTCGGGATCTTGGGCACGCACGCACACGCGCCCGGCGTGAGTTTTAAGCCACCGGGTCCGGGACACAAACCACGGTCGACTACATGGGAGTCCAGCGACATAGCCATTACACTAACTGCTGGTTCCCCCAATACATGCTTTTTATACAAATGAAATTAATTAAAGCCTTTAGTAAAATTATTTTATTAATTCAGCATATTTTATTTGCCTGTTAAATTTTTCAATTACTGACACATTATTTTCCAATTCTGCTTACATAAATATAACACGTTAAAATGATAAAGGTGAATTTTATTTTACACATTTCAACAAAATTACAAATTATTACAACTTTTTTTCAGTTTCTTTTTGTTTACCTCCTAGGTGCATTTGCTTGCTGAAGAGAGACAGAGAGAAAGAGATAGAGGGAGGGAAAGTGAGAAATCACTCCCCCAAGAGAAATGGTCAGGCCATAACCCCTCCTCCTCCATTCTCTCTCCATATTTTGGGCATGCACACATACACACCTGGCATATTTTTCAGGTCACCTGGTCTGAGACTCAAGCTACACAGTGGCCACATGGGAGCAAGGCACCTTCACCACCATGTCACATGCTGGCCCAAACGTAGTACAGTATTATTACACTTTTCAACTTCAATGCACAAATCTAAGTCAATACCCAGTATCTGTTAAATATTCTTTTCTTGTGTACATGTGCATCCACTTTCTGAACTCAACACAAAATATTAACATTTGGTAATTTGCTTACTGTTTCTATATGTTATATTCTTTCGTGATATCTTTCTTGGTATCTCACAGCCACTAAGCACAATGGAAGTATCATGTAGGCAACTTCTGTCATCAGCCACACGGATTGATCATCTGTCAGAAATGTGGGCTGCGGCTGCTTCTCTGGGGCTACGTGCATTCACACTCAGTGCTCATTGGTTCTAGACTTCTATGACAAACCATGTGTCTGTTCATTTTATTTACTATTTGCTGTTAGTCAAAGATTCCAAATCGGATTCCTATAAATGGTGCCTTGCACTTTCTTACTTCTTCAACCAGTCTTGAGCTTAGCTCTAATTCTTGTATATCCTCTTTCAATTTTGTGGCTAGATTCATGCAAATTTAATTATACCACTCTTTAATAGGTCTCTATCCATTTGATTGGATTAAACTAATATATTTACAGCTTAACATTATTTTAAATTATTTTCATCGTATTGCTACCCAGAAGGGTAGTATTTCTTATAGATACGTAAACAGCATTCAGTTTTAATTCTGCACACATTTTCTAGCTCCGTAAATATGTTTCTAAGATCTTTTAAATGACATTTAAAAGACACCACTGAAGGTGGTGATCAGGTTTTAACACTAGTTCTGCAAATGGGAAAATTTATTTCAGTTATTTTAAACAATTTAAATAAAGACCCAGTGAAACTGCTTTATTAAAAGAAGGTTGCAAATATTTAAAATTTTCTTGTGTATCCTCAATAAATGACACCACTGAAGTTTTGCCACATTTGTGTATTAGTTAATTATAAATACTCCAAGGCTGTAGGAAACAACCACAGAGTCTCAGTGTCGCATGTAATCATGGTTTATTTAGTTTTAGCCCAAACCACACAGATTCTTTTCCAACTTTTCCTTCGGTCACATCTACTAATATCCCATTGTCAAAAACTACAATTGAGGAATGAGGAAATTGACCTATCCATGGCAGTAGAAGAAAAAGAAAGAATTTCTTTGAACAGTAATCTAATCTATGACACAGATAAGGATAGGCCAATTGCAGAGCTTGAAATATGCTAATTAGAACCAGAAACAAAATAATTATTTTCAGTGACAAGCTCTAATGGACATTGTGTGCAAAGATATAAAAACCAATGCTTGAGATATTAAATGACCATGTTTTAATATTAGTTCTACAAATAGGAAAATTAATTTCAATTATTTTAAACAATTTAAATAAAGACCCAGTGAAATTGCTTTATTAAAACAAGGTTGCAAATATTTAAAATTTTCTTGTGTATCCTCAATAAATTAAAAAAATAAAATTCAGTTAGCTCCTTGGCATTCTCCATTCATATACTACTATTACAAGGTGAAGATAGATAAAAGCCCTATTAAAGTTAATAACTTATTCATTAGAGTGTGTAAAAATTAGTACAAATAAGAGGAATTGAGAGAAATATGTGACATACATGAAAGAAGGGAGGCAGAAAATCAATATTGGCAAAACCAAATGAAATGTTTAACTGCTTCAAAGTTGACTGATAGAATAACACATTCAAACAGGTTTTACTAAATATTTATAATTTTTAATAAGCTGGAAAATATTTTTTCTCATTGCAGGTATGACCAAGCAGAAACATATGTTTTTAGAATTATTTAAAAATTGTACATCTACTTTGCTTTCTTTTCATGATGATTTAGAATGCGTGCAGCTTTGGAAAAAGAAATAGAGCGGCTGGAGTCAGCATTATCGCTATGGAAATGGAAGTATGCAGAACTCAAAGACTCGAAGCCAAAAACCACGAGCGAGGTATGGGACACAGGTGTAAGGGAAGGATGAGACCCAGGGCTTGCTTTCTCTGCCGGTGTGAGGGAGTGGGCAGCAGGCTCCACCGAGAGAGAGGCAGGTTAAAATTTGTATTTGTGGACCGGCAGGTAGTGTGGTGGTTAGGGCAGCTGGATCCCACATGGCCAACTCTGCGGTTTGAATCCTAGTCCCCGCAAGACTTGAAAATCCCACCAGCCCAAGGTGCCCAAAATCTGGAGCGGAGAATGGAGGAGAAGGGATTGTGGCATGGTCATCCGCCTGGAGGGTGCTTTCTCACTTTCCCTCTCTCTGTTGCTCTGTCTTTCTCTGTTAAGTACACACACTCAATAGCAAAAAGAAGGAAAAAAAACAAAAGAATTTTCTCTATATGGGGGATATTTGAAATCATATCTCAATAGTAAACTTATGTCAAATGAGAGCCATAAGGAATATTACTCCAATATATTTTTTCTGAAGTTTTAATCTTTAATTCATTTAAAAAACTGTTGATATGGGCTGGCAGGTGGTGGGGTGGTTGAGTGCTGGACTCTCACATGACCAGCTGTGGTTTGCGGTCTGGATCTGGCGGCTTGCTTTTTCACGTTCTCCTTCTCTCTCTCTCTCTGGTCAAATTAAAAAAAATGATAATAACAAATGAAATAAATAAAATAATTATTTAAAAATCTTCCTGTATGTTTAAGATGTACAACATGATGTTTTGACATATGTACAAGAGAGGACAGTGAAATGGTAAATGATACAATTAAATATCCATTCAAGGCACAATTGAGGAGACAGCTGAAGATGACATATAACAGCATACCACCTGTCACAGACAATTTTATCTCTTTTTTAATGAAGCAGTCCAAAAATATCAATTTATCTCAAGTGAATTTAAGTTCTTTTCACCATTGGCATTGTAGTTATCAGAATCAGTTACTTTTCTTTTTAAATCAATCACATGCTGTGGTGAATGCTTCCCACTTGGATGATGTGTTAGTATTTAGTATTTTAAATATGTTTACTGTACACATATTTTGTACTAATAGCATTATACTATGTAACTATGTGGACAAGACTAATGAGAAAATAAAAGGAAAAGAAAGGAAAAAATGGGGGCCAGCAGTTAGCGTAATGGCTATGTCGCTGGACTCCCATGTAGTTGACCGCGGTTCGCGTTCCAGACCCGGTGGCTTATGACTCACGCCGGCGCGTGTGCGTGCGTGCCCAAGATCCCGAGAGAAGAATGGAGGAGAAGGGATTGTGGCGTGGCCATCCCCCTGGGGGATGATTTCTCACTTTCTGTCTCTCTGTCTCTCTCTGTCTGTCTGGCAAGCGCACACGCCCTATAGAGAAAAAAAAAAAAAAACCTCTCCAAAAAAAAAAGGAAAAAATGGGCAAAGATAATGTCCAGTTAAATGTTTTAAAATAATATTTAAAACCAATTAATTAACATTTAATGCATGTCTGTCTGTACAGTGCATATATATGTGTGCATGTGTATGTGTACACGTATATGAATTCATAGAACTTATATTCACAAGTATCTATCTCTGGGTGTGAGTGTTCACCATAAAATTAACATAGAGTGAAAAAAATCAGTCACAACACAAAATAGTTCGCAACACAAAAATCACGATATGTTTAAAGTGTACGTGTATGTGCTCTGTAATATAATGTGCTCGCAATTCGACTCACATTTAAGCTAATACTTAAGACAGAATTGGTCTTAAATTTTAAAATACACATGCAGTTACCGTCTCTTGCCACTAGTGTGCAGTAGAGACTTGATAATGTTCCTCTTGGAGTATAAGCCTTTTCATTTGGAAAAAAGTGACAGAGTTGGTTTACAAAGCGATAATTGAAGTGTTTATTGCTTTTATCCCAAGATGATTTTTCTTTTGATAAAAAATCTGAAAATCTTGACTACAAGTTGCTTAATAAAGTTTTCTAGGTGAGAGAAAAGAATTGAAACAAATATGGCATTATACAATGTGAGCTGGGTCTGTGGTTTTTGATCCTATAGAAATACATATTAACCCATACGATAGTTTTACTAAACAAAATGCTGGTAGGATTTTAAGAACAGTAGAAACCTCAAAACTGGAGAAAATTAACCTAACTACTTATATTTTTAATTTTTTTTTTTCATAAAAGAGAGAGGGAAGGAGATAGAGACAGGTGTAGGCTGTTTCGACAGTCTCACTGTGTTCGATCCCCACCGCCCCCCAGCTCAGGCTCCTAGGTCGCTAGATCGTCAGGTGTACACTTTTCTATTCAGGTTGGGCCAGAACCCTACCCAGGGCCCCCGTTTAGCTGGGGCCATCACACAGCTGTGCCCTCTCACTTGTGCCACTATGGCTTGACCTACTTAAACTTCTTTTTTAAAAAAGAATTATTTTATTTTATGTACTATTATTATTATTTTTAACTTGAGGTGAGAGAGGCAGAGAAAGAGAAAGGGAAAACGAGAAAGTAAGCTGCCAGGTCCGAGACTGAGACTGCATTGGCCACGTGGGAGTCCAGCCTTTAACCACCATGGCCTTGCGGTCCTCGCTGCTTACGCTTTTGAATGAGCATTTCCTTAGCTGAGCTTCAAATCTGAATAATGAATGACAATGAGTGAAAAAACATCTTTTTGTTGTGGATAATGGAAAGTCATTAACAACAAAGACAAGGACATTAAGATAACTGTAGGGAGAACAGCAGCTTTTTCTGCTTCATAACAAGGAATTTTTGATGTTCTTAGAATTTCTTTAAAGAAATGGGATATGCAAATATATTTAAATTATTTTTATATGATGAAATGCTTGAAGAATGCTTAAAAACTGAAGTAATAGGTAATAATAAGTCATATGTAATAATTTCTGTATTCTTTGTTTAGTTCTTTTTATAATAGATTAGGACAGACAAGAATCTTATGCTTCACTTAGAAATGGTATTATAGACAAAGTATAACTGTGTAATATTAAAAGTTCTCACACAATTGGTTGATGATCAGAAAGAAGGGATCCTGATGTATCCCTTGAAACTTCATATGAATTAACCTTCTTACTCTCCTTCTCAAACATCTGATAAGGAATGACCTCTGCTTTTACTGTGGCTCTTTTTCTATACAACAATGAATACAAGTATAACTCTTCTGTAGATGCTTGAAATAATCAAAATCAAATACATGCATGGCTAAAAACTGCTGATAGAAAAATTAGCAATTGTTACTGTTGGAAACGGATGTGTTTGAAATACGGAGATTTTAAAAATAAATTTAAAATTTTGTGTGCTGTAGAAGAAAATCATTCTTCCATCAGCAGGTGGCATGGAGGTTAAGGGAGCTGGATCCCACATGGCTGACTGCATGGTTCAAGTCCCAGACCCAGAGCCTTGAAAATCACATCGGGCACATGTGCATGCATGCCAGAAACCCCTAGAGGAGAACGGAGAATAAGAGACAGCGTCATGCTATCCTTCTGGGGGCGGCCTTTCACTTTCTCTCTCTCTGTCTCTTTTTGGTGAGCATACATTTTGGTGGCAAAAAATCTAAAAGAAAAATAAATTCTTAAATCACTGGTGTGTAAAGAACATTACAAAAAATGATGGTACCTCACTTTAGCAATGACTGATTCTTCCTGTAATAGAAGAGATCCTCTGCCTTCTGTGAGACATTGCTGACGTTTTAAAACTAATCTCAAGCTGAAAAGTGAAAAGTAACTTCTTTTCTATTCTAAAGACACAGGCATTGTGCTGCCTTTGTGTGGCACTTAGTGGAAGTTAAGTGCATGGTGGAACATTTGTGCAGTTTGAGTTCGAAAATAATTTTGAAACATTGTCTCATTCCTACTGGCTTGTCAAAAAAGTCATGACACATTTTTGCATAGAAAAACAGAAAAATACGTCTTGAGTTTTCCAACAGCCCAATATTTCTGCAGCTCAATGCATTTATTCCAAGCAAGAGGATTAAAAACACAAACGTACCCGGTCAGTTCTGCTCCAAACTGTATCTCACACCCGTCTTTCCCATCTCTGCTTCTTCTCAGACTCATCACAGTCTCTTACTCTGCTTCTTTCTTCCCAGCCTCCTTCTCAGTAGGTCTAATTTAATTCATCCTCACCCACCGCTTAGGCTGATATTTCTAAAACATCCACTTGCTTGAAACATTTCAATGTTCTCCAAGTACTTTGGAAATCCGAATCCCCTTGGCTAAATAATCAGTTGCCAATGGTTCTATGGTTGTCAAGTAAGGAACCCACTCTTTTCTGTTCTGCTCTAAAAACTCCAAATTTCAGTCAAGTCGCCAAAAGACAATTACTTTGACTCTTGTCTAGTCCCTGTGTTTAGAGGGCATACTTCTATTCGTGACTCTGCTGTCCTTTGGGTTCTCAGAGGTCAGGCAGATGGACACTACATGTTAAAAGAAAGAGAAAGGAAGAATGATTTCCCAGAGCCTGGCTTGAGAGTAGTGTACGTTATCTCACTTAGCGTTCATCGGTGTGTGCCCGTTGGCACAGTGCCCTGAACTGTAAGGGAGGTTGCGAAATGTCTTCAAGCTTACACACAGAATGAGAAATAAATTATATTGGGAAGCATCTAACTAGTTTTTGCTGCAAAGTCAGTATTTTGTATAATAGAGCAGTACTTATTCAGATACCTTATTAACAGGTGTTAATTAAATTTTTGCCTTCGTAATTATTGATAAATATATCTTGAAGACTTTCGGCTCCTATTTAAGGAAAAGCTGGTTTTCTGATCTTGAGCTCTCATATTGAGAGTGTGACTTACATCCACATCGTTGAGTTGGACAGATGGAAGTTTTTATTTATTTATTTGTGTATTCATTTATTTATTTTCACATGGGACCTTCCCATTCTACGTCCTATGTTGGTGAGGATTGGAATGTGTGCTTTATTGCTGAGATACCTCCCAAAGACATGGGGGACAGAGCTACCATGTGCCCAGATTCCCCTTTTAAAGTTCTCAGTCAGATAATCCCCTCTTCCTTCTGGTA